ACACCTTATCTTCTCTCTACACACTGTGATTTCTCTGAAGGAAAATTACCTAAATATTTCAGCAGTTTAACTAGTGGGAAGCAAGGAATTAAGATTATAGATACAAAGGTGCTGTAATTGTGTTTTAATCAGCTTATTAAATACAACATGAACATGTATCAATCAGCTAACATTTAATTTCATGGTCCATGATTCAAAACTTTCCAAAGCGCAACAGTACAAAGTCATCAGCATTTACTTAACAATTCCTTACCAATTTCTGTTCAACTAATGTAAACCATACAAAATATTGTGTGACAATTGTTACATGTCCTTATGGACTAAAAGAAGACATAATTAGATATTGTATTTAAATACAAACATAACTTGAAATTTACCTTTCTTGTGAGATATTACCATGGTAGACCAAATAGAAAAATATCTACATATATAAAAACACAGCAACATAATTCTTTAAGTTAGGGGACTAAATATAGGAATCTTAAAATACCTATTTCAAACATATCTATCCCCAAAAGACCAAACTCCACTAATGAAACAAACTACTGAGGTAATTTGTTTCAACTATTGCTGCAGAAAATAAAAACAAATCTCTATGAATCTCATTTAGGAAATAAATTGCCTAATCACACTTTCATTCAGGAGTATTATACAAAGACTTCTCCATTACACAGTCACATTTGACTTGTGATGCAAGTACACTTATCTCTTGTCCTCTGCTGAAAAAGTGCTTTTTCATGATCTGAATGATTCAGTTTTTCACAGAATAATTTAGTTTATCTAAATTCTACATTTGTTAAGAAGCAATGAAAATTATTAAAAGTCAGCTGTTCTTTTCTCTAGACTTTTGCATGATAGAAAAAATCACTTTAGTGTTTTTGTTGTTAGTAAAGAGGTATTTTATTGTAAATATTTTTATTGAATTTACTGGGGTGACATTGGTTAATAGTAGTTAGTATATAGGTTTCAAGGTCTGTTTCTGACCATTATTTTTTCCTCAGGTAGAGAAGGGCCTGAGGGTAAGTGTCATTAACATCTTTTACTAAGACAAAAAGATTTTATTGTGGTTGCTAGGATACCAACAGACATATCCTTTTATTGCCATCAGGAATAGTTATTAGGGATGTCTGCTCACAGAACAACATACTGACTACAGTGTGAACCAAACAAAGTCTAAGAGGCAGAGGCAATCTCTGCCCTTGATGAGGTTGCTATCATCTGTATTTGGTAATTAAAATTACAAAGTTCATTCTAAATAACATATTTTTTAAACAAATAGAAATAGACAATGGGAAGAAGGAAAGGAGGGGAGTGAAAATCGTGAGCCAAGGTCAAATATTTTATCTGAATCTGCAAAATCAGATTCCTTCGTTAAATATCTTATTTAACTAAATGAATGAGACTGTACTATGTGCTGGTTACTGTTCAAGACATTAGCAACCCAGTGGTTAATAAGAAAGTTTGAGTTTTCATTGAGCTTACATTCTAGTAAGGAGACTCAGCAAAATTGCTATAAATATTTACATGTGTGCCTGTGTGTGTGTACAGTGTGCAAAACCTGTCAAGGGGCATGGAGGTAGGTCAGAGAGGACTTTACATATAAGTAGCAATTACTATATGCCACATGTAGGGCTAGGCAATGAGAACAGACTATAACAGAAGACGCATGTTATCTGCCATTCTAGTTACTCAGGTGGGAAATCCAGGTAAACTAACAGAAAACTATTCTGGTGCCACTACCGGTGTAAGCTTGGCAGGCTGGGTACACCCTCATCACCAACAGACATGTATAGCCTTTTATTGCAGTCAGGAACAGATATTAGGGATGTCTTCTCAAGGAAGGTTAGTGACATTAACCTTCAAGGGTTATTGGGGGCAGTAGATGTTTATAAAACATTTGGCACAGTGCCTAGTAAACTACTAATTTTATTATTGTGGTTAAGTGTCCATATTACAGAGTAACAAGAAATGAGATTTATGGAACTTGAGGGTAGCAGAAAGGGGGAAAGGATAATAAAGGTCTTTAAAAACTAAAAAATGGAAGAGAGCTGGTGGGTTCACACAAGGACTTACAAGGCACATTGCAAACTGTATTTATAAACCTACACACACACAAAAAAAAGACAATGGAATCACATCACATACCCAATTAAGTGACAAGAATTAAACTATACATGATCGGCAGGGAAAAGAGGAGAGAACAATTCATTTACTACAAGTGGCTCTGCTGCTATTTCCCTCACCAAGAGAATATTTCAGAGTGAATGAGGTCTATAGAAAAAAAATCTATAGTCTCAGACCCCACATGTGAAGTTTAAGCACCTCACATCACTGAGTGTGAGTCAGATATTTAAAAAATGTGTTTTTCATATTGAAACTGAGGGTCCTTAAGACTGATTAAATTTAGTTTTAAATTCTAGCCTAAAAGTCTTCCCTCTTCCCCTCTCCCTCCCACCCTTTCTCTCTTCCTACATCCCAGACCTAGCCTTCTCCCTAGCCTTCAACAACCCTCAAGGCAGCAGGAAATAGTAGCTTGGACTTGACTAATGGCTACATGCTCTAGACCTCTGGCAAGCTAAAGATAACATCTTTCCCAAGAGACCAGACAAAGGGACACCAGAAAAGACCTCAAAGCTGTCCTCAAGGCCTGAAGAAATGATTCATCACCCTGACCTTGCCTCCGAGCAATCAGCTCCCAGCACGACCCCAAACTCCCAACCCACACACCATCAAGGAGTTCAGGCTTTTGAGCATTAACTTCCTCTTCTCCTGGATGGCACTATACATCAATAAAATAGCTAATATTTATCCAGTGCAATTCCTGGTGTTTAGCATGTGGCTCTGCTAGCGCCAGGTGGATGAACTCTTCTGTTCTGTAACAATATGCATCCCCTAAATGCAAATGTACTACTTAATCTGGGGCAATTTTGATTAGATGTGATTTTCATCACCTTTTATACTTACTTCATAACTAACTCCTGCTTAAGATGCTACTCTACCTATTTGATCTTCATTTTTCAGATACACAAATAAACATGCCCAAGGACACCTGGGCAGCATACAGTGGAGTCAGGATGCCTGCCTCATTCCGCCTGGCTCAAAATCCCTACAGTCCTTTCACGATGCCCAGCCATCCCTGAGTTTGGACTTGAAGGAACTGGCCAAGATTAAGGAGGAAGATGATGCAAAACATGTAAGAGAAACAGTTAATAAAACGAATAGGTATTTTTAGAAAAAGATAAAGACCAAACAAAGAGAAACCAAGTCAGAAGCTGATGTATGGTAACGCTCATCACAAATTTCCAAAAAACGATATTGATTTCATCTACTTTATACCTCTGTGCTTACTAAAAATCAAGTATTCTGGAAATTCAAACATTTCAGCATCCAAGTTCTACCTCCCTGCCTCCCTCTCACAACCAAAAGGGGTGCGTGTGCATACGAGCGCACGCGCACACGCGCGCACACACACACATTCACCATGTGTCCAGACACTAACTAATTACTTCTATAGTCTTAGAATGAGAAAGAAAGGAACACATGGGAAAGAATACAAGTAGGAGACAAATGCTGGGAGCAATGAAAAAACCTTCAAAATACTAAGAGAAAAGTGCTTCTTCCTCTGATAGTAATAATGAAATTGAGAAACTGGGATAAAGTATAAATAGAAGTTTAGTAAGTCCTTCAAAAAACGGTCTTTGGAAGTACATTCCACAGAAAAATCCAGCAACTACATTCATTGGGCATTTATTCTGTGCCTGGTATTCACACTAACAAGTGTTCACATTGTATCATATTTCTCATTTTGATGTTAGCAATTTCTACTTACCTTGAGGAAAAAAATCTCTGGCCCCAATAAAAAACAAAAGTCACCATATGAAATAACAATTACAATAATGCTAATGAAAGCAGTTACTTTTGGGCCATCTACCATGCCCCTGTACTTCACCCTATGAAGTACTTTATTCTGATTCTACCTGCAAGAAAAACCAACTTACTCTCAGATTAAGTAAATTGCCTAAAGTTGTCTAACACTTCAGACCTGATAGGGTTGGGAATCACCCATGTCCGTCTCTTAACCATTTTGTACTACTTCTCCATTTTAAAGACTCAACCTTTTCCACGAGCATTCTGAATTTTTTTAAATTTTATTTTAGCTTTATTGTTAAAAGTATTACAGATGTCCCCTTTTTTTCCCATTGACCCCCTCCACCCCACCCTAGGCCTTCACTACACTATTGTCTGTGTCCATGGGTTATGCATATATGCATATCAATTCCTTGGTTAATCTCTCCTCACCCCCCACCCCACCTTCCCTCTGAGATTCCTCAGTCTGTTCTATGCTTCTGTGTCTCTGGATCTATTTTGTTCAACAGTTTATTTTGTATATTAGAGTCCACTTATGAGTGAGATCATGTGATACTTATCTTTCTCTGACTTTTTAATGTAGAGTTTTGGGGCATGAAATACTTCTCCCAGGTAGTATTATACTACATAACTAAAATGAATGACCAGTACCTTAAATGTGTGCAACTTTTGTTCCCAAGGACTAAAACCTTCTTGTCTTATTACTATTTCATACTGCACAACTATTATCCTTAAATGGCACATAAATTAATACAGAACTCAAAATACAATGACATATAAAAGAAATATGATACTGTTTAAAGTCAGGAAACATTTCTCAAAAATTGGAGAAGTGGGTGCTACCAGATTCTCGTTAAAATAATCTGTGCTGCCCAACCAGCCATGGCTCAGTGGTTGAACTTCGACCTAGGTTCCAGGAGATCAAGGTTCAATTCCTGAGGTCAGGGCACATGCCTGGGATGCGGCTCGATCCCCAGTAGGGGGCATGCAGGAGGCAGCCAATCAATGACTCTCATCACTGATGTTTCTATCTCTCTCTCCCTCTCCCTGAAATCAATAAAGATAAATTTTAAAAAAATAAATAATGTGTGCCAACTAGTAGCCTCTAGTTTTTTTTAAAGTGCAAATTTTACCTGGGTCATTATGGGAATGAGGCACCACAAAGACCTGAAGGGGCTTAGTGTCCCAATCACTAAGTTTATAGGTAATGTCAAATCCTTGCTTCCAAACTCCACCATCTGGATTGTCAAAAGGAATTAGACTGTAAATATCCAACATCTAAAAATATAAAAGACAAAAAAAAGTTTAATTATGATAACCATTACTAACTGCAACTTAGTGTTGAAAAATATTTGCTCAAAACTTGTTGTACTCTGAGTATATATTTTACAAGATAAAACTACTTCTGTAGACATGAAGTTTAAGGCAGAAAACATTTAATCACCATTCAAAGGCTTAAAATGCTACCTGTGTCACGTAACTATCCTGATAAGTAATCCCCTCCCCCATCTGTTTCTAATAAAAAATAGTAATTTTATTGAATTTCTCTTCTCCAGCTCTACTTCCAATACAATTTAATAGTAACAGATAGGAACTGAACAGCAAACCAAAAAATTTGATTATGACCAGATTCAAAAACAATTTACTGAAAATTATTTTTTTACTTTAAGTTGTCTTTATTTTATACTCAATCTCATATATTTTAAAATCTGTATCTTAAATGAAAATGCATCTATTGCTATTCTTTCATTTAGCATATAGTATGTTTACCTTTATTATTCTAAAAATAAAACTATAGGTTGACTAGGTTAAAAAAATGGAAGAATTTTTTTAAAATTGAGATTTATTTAAGTGTTTGAATGTTTTCTAAGTTTCCAATGCAGTATTCCTTTTAGATAATAATCTATTTTGAACACAAAGTAAAAATATTGCGCCCCCCAAAAAAACCTAAAAACTATTATTCTCCATACTCTCTATAACACTAAATGTGACAAAAACATACCCACCCTTTGGTAAAATTTCAATTATGTAAAAGTTACATCCTAATTAATATATAAACAGGTTACAAAAAATTTTTAAAGATATCAAGCAAATTACATAAAAGCGAATACAAAGTATTTTAAGGGAATAATATATTTCTTACTTCAGAATTTATGACTTTAATAAATAAAATACAATGCTCCAAGGATAAGTCAACAAGTCTTTGGGAACCAGCTGGCCAAGAGGATGTGCCAGAGGTCTCTGCTATTTCTTCCAGTTCTTTCTTTGGTACTGCAGATCTCCCAGTCCACATTGCCTCCTCTGTCTGCCTTACATGGTTGCTCTGTACCTCCTTTCTGTCCATCCCAGATTTAGACCCACCCCAACCAAAAAAGTTTTTTTGTTTTTCTTTAAAAGGTACTGGATTAAAACCTAAACAAAGGCAAGCCTCATGGAAATAGACATCCCTTCAAAGCACACAATAGGATCCTAATCCAAATGAACCTGGCCATACACTAGCTGATGAGTTTGCAGGCATGAGGCCTGACCAGCTCCACTATTCCCAGTTTCCAGCTTGGCCTGTGAGCCATGTCCTCAAGGTCATATCATGATCTCTGTTTCCAGGAGTTAGTGAAAATTCCTACTCTGAAGCCAGGACACAACCAACTCATTTTATCCAACTTTAAAATATTTACACCTTAGGATCCTGTCACAAAGTTCCAATTTCTGGTCTAAAGTTTAAGATTACATATAGCTCTCTGCTAATCTGCAGAACCAAAAAATATGAGTGACACACCCAAAGGTTTAGAAAGGCAGAAGTTCTTTCTTACCTTAGTCTTCAACTCCACTATGCTCTAGAATAGTGTGATCAAAGAGAAATATAACACAAGCCAAATATGTAATTTTAAATTTTGTAGTAAAATAGAATAGGTGGAATTAATTTTAATGATATATTTTATTTAGGCCAATATATTCAAAATATTACTATTTCAATGTGTAATCAATATAAAAATGAACAGGATATTTAAGATTCTTTTTTTCATACTAAATCTTCAACACTTTGTGTGTAAATTATACTTAGAGCACATTTCAATTCAAACTAGCCACATTTCAAGTACTCAGTAGCCACATGTGGACAGTGGCTGCCATAATAGACAGCACAGGCCTACAATAGTTCCCTTTCTTCTCATAAAGGCATATTCAGCAAAAATAATCTAACCTTACACTGTGCGAAATCTGTAATGTGTAACAGTGAAATAGTAAGAGGAGGGCTTTTCTTGTATTCTCCAAAGGAAGGTAAGAAAATCTCTTTGGCCAAATTTAAACCTCTAAAGGAAGAATATTAATGATCTTGTGATTAATCAAATCACAAAAACAGAAACTAGAATCCAGAGAGTTTAAGTAACTTACTAAGTAAGAACAGATACCAGATCAAATGTAAAATAACAAAAACAAAGACAAAGCCCAGTGATTATCCCCAAATGTATACATTACCATACATTACCTGCACATCTGAATCCTGACTTCCGCTTTGTGAAGCAAACAGACAGTCTGCAGGGTCAACTGTGAGGGACAGAAGAGGTGAACCAACACCTTGGCTGAAATTGCCTTGTGAACTTCTTGGCCCATCCTCCACAGACTCGCTCAAATTGATGACCGAATCTCTAATATTTGAGATGATCTCATTGTTCTCAGCTAGCAAACGCTCCAAATGGTCTATTTTTTCTTGCAACATTGAGAGCTGGCCCTACAATATAGAAAAAAGCAGCTATATGAAACTCTAGCATAGCTCTGCTGAGACATACATATTTTTTTTAAAGTATGTGCCTACTCAAGAGGGAAGCCACTCACCCTTCACTTTCCACTTTTATAAATGGGATCACAGAAAGCATGAACAGTTGAATGGGTTGAAACACCAATTTACAGCAGAAAATCTTCTCTATGGCTACAATCTTTGTTTAATCATATTTTAAAATGAGCAACAGAAGGACCGAAAATATTTTGGGATATATTTCCTAGTATCTCAAACCCAGTATCGTTGGGTCTCTAAAATCACTAAGTACAATAACATATTATATTCAGGCATGAAATATTAAATTTAAGCATAACTGATTCTAGTTATTCCCAAAGGTCAAAAAGTGACCTTTGAACCTGAAAGTGATCATTTCATCTCAATCAGTAACACCAGTGGACCATACTAAATAAGACATATGATCTACAGAAAAAAATCAATTAGTCAATTGTTAATTAGCCATATGCTTGAAAAAACTGGCAGGAACATCCCCAATAACCACACTATTAAGTCAGTCAGACCATTTCTACTATATTGTGTGACTTTTAGGTTTTTAATTGATCCTCGCATTATGAGGCTTGCAGTCTCTATAACATAAACCTTGCTATATAGAATAATAGCTCAGTTTATGAGAGGAGGACAATCTTTGTCTTGTTTACTCCTATACCCAGGGTTCCAAATACAGAGTAGATAGTTATAAATTTGCCAAATTGCCCTCATATTTCTGGAAAGCAACTATAATTCTTCAGTGAACACCCACTGTGCCAGGAATAATGCTGGGAAGACAGGCATGCATAAGGTATGAGTCCCTGTCTGAACACACACACAAAAGGTGACATTGTAACTAGAAATAGCCTACCCTATGCCCCCAAAAGTCCACAATAAGATTTAATAAAATAACTATATGGATAGTGAACAAACAACTCTAGATACCCAGAAACAAAAATTCTACCAACAGTGAATAATAGAGAAAAAGGAGGAAGGGGAAGAGAGAAGAAGATAAAACACCTAAATGTCCAATGTAAAGGACTGGTCAAATAGTACATCTAATATCACAGAATAGTTTTCAGGGACTGAAAATTTAGAAATAGAATTCTTTTAAAATAAAAATATATGTGAAGGTACTTTCAGGAGATACAGTGGAGAAAAAAGCAGTTTTAAAATAGTATGTATGAATAAAATAGTATGTATGAATAAAATAGTATGTATGACATGATGATCCCCTTTTGAAGACTAATACATATGGAAGGCCATAATCGAGATGGTAAAAACTGGTTATGAGCATTTATATTCTGAGAGAAACAGATTCTACTCCCAGGTTACTGGCCAATTCAACAAGCGGAGAGCAGAAGTCAAAAGGCCATTTCAGCAAACTGTGAAAACTGACAGGAGTCTGAAGGGGCAAGGGAAGATATTTTGGAATAAGAAGAAAACAAGTAGCCAAAATCTGAAGCAAATCAGCAACTTATCTAGGGAGGTGGTGGAAGAGATGACACTGGGGATGAATACCCTAAGCCCAGGTGTTCGAGAGACAAGGAGTACATGATGGCCATGTACCTCCTCAGACCTCAAAGATGCTCTTAAATGCCTCTCTACTTAATAGAGGCAGAAATAGCCCCCCCCCCATCAACGCTGCAGTCCTTTACAGTAACTGTCACCTCTAAGTGGGGTGCATGTCTCTACAAGGCAGAACTCTGAAGCCTGCTTATCAGCGTATACAAAGGCAGGAAGTGCAGCATTTAGCACAGAACTCGTCCTGCAAGACAAGCCCCGTTTCCCCTAGTGAAAAGCAAGATGAGGAATACAGATCCGTTCACGACTAGAAATGGCAAAGCAAAGGAAACCGGATGGATCACAACACTAGTTCAGGGTTCAAAGAAAAGCCAGTTGAACCATGCAGATTCCAGGTCAGCAAAGCTGTTGAGCACCATTATATATACTACAAACCCATTTTCATAAGCACACATCAACGTTGGTTGGATTGTTCTCACTGGAAAGGTCAAAGAGGACTCTTGGCATAACCCAAAGTTCACCCAGAGAAGCTAAAAATATTTCAGTCAGGTACACAGCTGACTAATCTATGCATATTTTCCTAAAGAGACAGGCTATCAAAGGCTGTCTGAAATAAGAGGGAAACTTTTCTTCACTCATTTATCACAACAGCACGGACTGCAACTTTTAAAAATCACTCCTGATGAATTCTGTTGAATATTCCCAATGCTGAAGATGCAAGTCTACTTCTTCAGTGATGCTTGCAATTTCTACCACAGCAGGTAACAACAGTAAATCAAGTTCCTCTGATCGCAAGCAGAATTAGAACACGTTGACTTGCTCTGCCTGTAGTAAAGCTCACACCTCCATAAAATAAAGCCTCGGCTTACTCTAAAATACCACCCAATAATATTTTATAACTATATACATTGACAGATGGCTACTAGACTTGTGGTGATCACTTCATAAGGTATATAAATGTTGAATCACTATGTTGTACACCTGAAACTAATACAATATTATATGTCAACTATAATTAAAAATAAATTTTAAAAAATGTTAAGGGAAAAAAGACATCAACTCCAATGAAAATTAAATACCACCATCTAAGAGCTTTGAAAGATTTACCAGACAATTAATAGTGTATAAATTAATACATGGGTGCGGACTTTCTCTATATCTTCCTGTACTTTCAAGAAAAGATCATTTTGAAGCCATGCACACAGCAAAGCTGCCAACAGCTCAACAAGCACACACTGAGAAAGAAGAGGGCTCCTTCCTGGTCCCATAACCCAGGGAGGAGGGTATTATTCAAAATAAACATTACAGGAGATGGGTGTTTCATGAAAAAGGATCCCACAGGCACTAAACATGATTTTAATCTCACTGCTTTAAAGATATAATCAATGATCAGTACCTGGAATTCTGTAACTGAATAAAGTTCATGGAGAAAATTGTGGCTTAAGGATATGTCAACATAATGGTTTAATGGAAATTATTTTTCAAACTATATTATGCAGTGGAATAAAATCTCCCTACAAACAGCTGAGATTTTTTTAAATACACACACCTCATAAGCAAATTCTGTACAAGACAGAGTGGTACGACCTTAAAAGGATGTGCTCATAGTCTACATTAAAGTAGAAGAAATCACAGATAATGTTTCATATGATGACAAGTCAAAAGATACTGACGGTAATACTGAAAAAGACAATTTTCTGTAGGACAAGAAAATCACTTTATTTTTTGATTTGCTAATCAGTTCTATAGGGAGTCCACAGTGTAGCACTGCTGAGGAACGGGGAAGGAGGTCATGGTATTTGATTCTTTTTCTGCTTTTGGTGAAAGAAAAACTGAGCAAAAAAATCACTGATATCAAAGACTTTTCAGAGAGAAAATTTAGAGCCTACTACAAAGCAAAATAGGATCAGTATCCACTCAGCCCTCTGAACAAAATCAATCAATGTATGTCTACAGCTGATCTGAAAATGCATTATGTAATTATTTGCCCCAGGTAAGACACTAGCTGCTGGGACTGGCATTACTGCGATCCCTGAAGCATGGCTGAATCTGTACACCCTTTTCTTCCTATCTGTTCCAATGAAAAAATATGTGCCTTGCCCTCTCCCACTGCAAAGACCAACGCTGACGGTGAGTTCCAACCCCATCTCTCTCAACTGCTCAAAGGCTGTGTACCCTTGTGGTTAAACCCTCAACACTGCTTCATCAAAGTCCCCCTTCTAAAAGCAACTCATTCTCATGTTTTATTTTACTAGGTCAAACTTTAGGACATTGACTAGGTTAAAAAATGGAAGAAGTCATTTTTTGGGCATATAAACCTATACCAAAAATAATACATATGCAAATAAAAATAACAGACCCGGGACAGGTAGCTCAGTTGGTTAGCTTGTCCTGCCAATACGCCAAGGTTGTGGATTCGATTTCCGGTCAGGGCACATACAAGAAGCAACCAATGAACGCATAACTAAGTGGAACAACAAATCAATGTTTCTTTCTTCCTCCTCCCCCAGCCCCTCTCTCTACCTCCCGTCTCAAAATCAATAGATTTTTTTTTTTAAATAATAATTTTAAATAAAGATACAAATAACAATTTTTAAAGAAAAAAAATCTCCACTGTAACCCAAAAAATAGATAAAAGAATAAGGAAAGTCCTAAATAACAGGCTGATCTTCATGACAGTTTAGGAAATAACATAAAAACTGATTCATGTTTGGCCACAGGTGACAATCATGACCTCGTCAGTAGGGTAAAATATGTGGCTCCTTTTCTAGGGAAAAGATTATGGATTCTGCGCAGTCCAATCAAAGGTTTCCAATATTCACAACCATCAGTAATCATGACTCAATGGGCTATGAGTTTTAATTGATGCAGGGGATAGAGAGACTTTGGAAAAAGAATCTTGAGACAATTCTAGAATTGTTCATACCATGGTAGTGATATAAGATCTTCACTCAACCAAATCAAGTTTCTAGTTAAGAGAAGTGTAGAGGAAATATTATTACACATTTATAATATAACCACCAATGGCAGTACTCAAAAGATACAAAATATCACCACAATATGTGTATGGGTATGTATCTGAAACTCCAGATCTCTACCATCTTTCATTTTTACCATCTTCAAACCTAATTTTGTTAGAGTCAACCTATCATTCAATCACATCAAGATTTTTCTGGCCCGGCCAGGCGTGGCTCAGCGGTTGAGCATCGACCTAGGATCCAGGCGATCGGGGTTCGATTCCCGGTCAGGGCACATGCCCCAGTTGCGGGCTCCATCCCCAATGACTCTCTCATCATTGGTGTTTCTATCTCTCTCTCCCTCTGCTGCCCTCTCTCTGAAATCAATAAAGATATATAAAAAATTTAAAAAAAAGAAAAAGATTTTTCTGGACTTGGATTCTATCACTGAATGTGCCATGCCCACCATGCAGCAAGTGTGCTGATGTGAGCAGGCTATAACATGCCTCATCCGCAGGTGAAAGGCTTCTCTTAAATCAGTACACAAAGTCTAGAAGAGGTGACTGCTTCTTCAAATGCACAAACACCTATGCAAGGATATAGAGATCACAAAGAATCAGAGAAACATGACTCCATCAAAGGAATACAGTAACCTTCCAGTAACTGGCCCCAAAGAAATGGAGATACAGGGATAGCCTGACAAGTAATCCAAAATAATCGTTCTAAAGATGCTTAGAGAGTTACAGGAGAACACAGATAAACAATTTAATGATATAAGGGAAACTCTGTAAAGAACAAAACAGGAAGTTCAGCAGACGAAAAACAAAATATACAAGATAGATCCAGAGACATGGAAGCATAGAACAGACTGACGAATCTCAGA